TAGATATAATTTTGTTTCTTTAGTCATTTCAGCCACTTTTTTTTAAACAGGTTTTTATAAAAAGGCCTGTTCCCAGTAACCATATTCTTCCAAACATGTTCCAAGCAGAAACTTTTGTGATGAAACACATCTTGCCATTTTGCATGCATTGCTTTACTATTGATACCTTCAAAAAATATGACCTGAGCCAAAGGCAGTTGCTTAACCAGCTGAGCCACCCAGTAGCCCTGTGGCATGAGGTTTTTTTGTTTGTTTGTTTGTTTGTTTTAAAGATTTTATTTATTTATTGGACAGACAGAGATCACAAGTAGGCAGAGAGGCAGGCAGAGAGAGAGAGAGGAGGAAGCAGGCTCCCTGTGGAGCAGAGAGCCCGATGCAGGGCTCGATCCCAGGACCCTGGGATCATGACCTGAGCTGAAGGCAGAGGCTTTAACCCACTGAGCCACCCAGGTGCCCCTGTGGCATGAGTTTTTAAAGCTTTTTCATATATGGTTTTTGTTGTCATTTGTTCTTTTCCCATCTTCAAACTTTATGAGGTAAAATCTTTGAAGCACACTAAGCTGTGTATATTTTTAAATAATCAATTAAAACGCCAGGAGTCTTGCTACTATATAAGCCCCTTTACCCCACCCACACCACTAATATTTATGCCATAGTCTTCATATGTTTACATTTACATAAACTGAGAACCCCACCAAACAATGCTATAATTTTTACTTTCAACCATCCTGCAATTTCATTATTTATTTATTTACTTATTTGAGAGAGAGAGAGAGGGCATGAGCAGAGGCAGAGGGAGAAGCAGGCTCCCCGCAGAGCAAGGAGCCTGACGCGGGCTTGATCCCAGGACCCTGATCATGACCGGAGCCAAAGGCAGACGCTAAACCATCTGAGCCACCCAAGCACCCCATCCTGCATATTTTAAAGAACTGAGAAAAACTGGTCACATTTTTTTTGCCTACTGAGTAGTTTAGGATTTTATCCTGGACCCCAGGAACATTATGCTGTGTAGATTCCGAAGAGTGTTGATGTTTCTGGTTTAGCAGGCAGGCAGCCCATTCAGGTTCAGACTGCGAGTTCGGTCTCATCTTTCCGGGAGCCATGGTTCACCTCCCAGCTCAGGTCTGTGTGGGTCTGTCCCTCACATGAGTGGCTTAAAATGAAGCCAGAGACTTCTGTGGCTCCTCTTCTTCTCAGGCTGTCTACTCCAGCTTTCTTCCTTCCTTCTCCAGCCACCTGGGGCTCCCTCGCCTGGTTCCTCTGACCTGTGAGATGGGGCGAGGGAGGCGTCCACAGCAGAGCCTTACACTGTCACCACCTTTCTAGCTCCTTGACGGGGGTCTCACCCTCAGGACAGAGCAGCCTGGAAGACAAGGGGGAGATCCATCCTCCTGCTTTCTCTCCAGGTTTCAGCTCCCGCCCACAGTGTGTGTCTCTTTACTTTTCCGAAGCCTCAGGTAGTTGTTTTCTGCCCTTGACCGAGTTGTCCATTTTAATCAGCAAGAGAGAGATGCTATATAATTGAGTGAATGCCACCAGGCTGGAGCCGGAATGCCTCCATCATTCTTTCTGTGGGTTTTTTTTTTTTTTTTTAAGATTTTATTTATTTATTTGACAGAGAGATCACAAGCAGGCAGAGAGGCAGGCAGAGAGAGAGGAAGAAGCAGACTCCCTGCTGAGCAGAGAGCCCGATGCGAGGCTCGATCCCAGGACCCTGAGACCATGACCCTGAGACCATGACCTGAGCCGAAGGCAGCGGCTTAATCCACTGAGCCACCCAGGCGCCCCTTTCTGTAGTTTTTAAAACACTAACCCTGTGGTACGAATGTGAGGAAAACCTGGGTGAGAGCCAGGATCACTTCGCCAGGGTCCGAGTGAACCAAGCTGCCTCACTTCCTAACCTTCGCGAACGCGTTCTGCCGCGTGTCCCTTCTCTCTGCGGACTCCCTTACCACTCCAGCGGGCGTCCTCTCAGAGCCTTTGTTGTAAGGCAGCCGTGGAGCTCCTGAGAGCCAAGTGTGTTTGTTCACACCCAGAAGAGCATGATATGTGTGGCAGTTTAATCATAAACACCATATGAGAACATACTTGCCAAGTCTGCATCGAAATTGGCCACTAAACTGAGCAGTAACATAGGGTTGTTTTGTATTTTTTTGTTGTTGTTTTTACTCCTACTGTTGCCTTTTATTGAGCCTCTTCTGTAGGCTAAGATTGCACTCTATCATCTCATTTAATCCTCACACCAACATAAAGATGCAAACTCTATGAGGTTAAAGAACCACCTTAAGACCCTCCCCCCACCCAGCTAATTCAGCGCTTGAGCTGAAAACACAGGTTTCTTTCTGACTCCAAAGGCGCTGCTCTGGTGTTTCCTTGGCCTCCTGCATCATGGAAGGATTTTGTTCAACGGCTCTCTGGGAGCAGTCAGGTTGTGGTTTTTTTATTAAATATATGAGCGCCATGTTTTCCTTTTTTAGGAGCTCAGCGATGCCCTTGGAATCAGTATTGCTGGAGGAAAAGGAAGTCCCTTAGGAGATATCCCCATATTTATTGCCATGATTCAGGCCAGTGGTGTGGCTGCACGTACTCAGAAGCTTAAGGTAAACAGAAGGAAAATGGTGAAGTGCTCACAGCATGTGGTGGGAGACAAAGTTGCAGCCATGGGCGCTTTATTTTAAAGTTGGAATTCCAACAGAGACCCACACTGAGGACAAAATGCATTGGAGAAAGTTGACACCTAAAATTCATTAGGTCCCTGGGCATATAAAAATATTATTGTTTGTATCAAAGCTTCCCGATGAAGGAAGAAATTGCAGCTCATTTGCAAAGCCTCCCAAACCATTTTTTGCACTTCTTTCCACCCAAAATTAATCTTCACCTGAGAGAGATTTGACCTGAGAATTGTCCTTCAGCCAGAAGAATTAACGTTCTTAATGATTTTTTTTTTCCCCAGTGCCCCTTATTCTTAACTTGGGTAGAAAAATAAAGGAGAAAATATTTGGCTTCCTCATTAGAGCTTTATTGAACAGTTAATTTGTGTGCCCCGCTATTACTGGTGAATGGATGTATGCATCACCGCCATTGCCAAAATACAAAAGTGGCCTGCTGTGCCTTCCCCTAATCACATCTGACCCCCTTCTTGTTTCTCTGATTGGTCTGTGTTTGGGGAAAGCCATAAAAATTCCTCATACTTCTGGAACATGCATACCCAGGAGAAACACAGGCTCTTCACAATAGCCACAAATGGGAAATATGACTTACAAAGAATTTTAAGCATTCTCCTCAAATTTAATTTTTCTTAATGATAGTGATTTTCTACCACTTTTGTACTTCCAGGTTGGAGATCGGATTGTCAGCATTAATGGGCAACCTTTGGATGGGCTGTCTCACGCGGACGTGGTTAATCTGCTAAAGAACGCCTACGGGCGTATTATCCTACAGGTACTGCCATCAATGGGATGCGCAGCTGCGCGAGGCAGATAAGTGGCGTGCAAAAAAGATTGAGCGTCACTGGCAGTAGGCATCACCGCCCAGCGGGGTGCTTGCTGATGTGAATTATGAAGGTTGAAAGCAAGAAATTATTATTTTTATTCAGAAATTCTTTAATGCCACCCATACAGGCAGTGAGCATGATTATATGAAAGCATAACAAGGGGAGAAAAATTACTCTTTGCTTCACATGATGAATCAACAAGGCTTTTAGCTTCCAGCATTCTTTTGTAAATCAAAGTTTGTGAGGAATAGGAAATGATTTCTTTTCTTATGCCCAAGAACTGTTACTGAACTGCTCAAACACAGTTTCTTCCACCCCCTTTATAGGAAGGGAAAAATACAATGCTCTTTTTCCCCGTAGCATAAATGATGGCCAACGCTGTTAAATTCTCACTGTGTGGTTGTCATCAAATGAGGCAGACAATTATTTATCAGCTGTGGTCCCCAAGTTTATTGTCCAGGTGCACGGAGAAATATAACAGAAAATAGAAAGGAGGTGTACTGTTCATCATCCCTCCTTATAGTTCAGCCCTCCACATGTCTGTGAGATTGATATGGGGCAGTGAGAGGTATGATACTGCAGTGAGTTTTGCTAATGAGTTTCTTCCAAAATGTATGATTATGATCGCCGCACTTCTGCACGTAGTATTGAATGGTTTACCTATGAAAAGAATAAAGCCCACCGTTTAGTACCTTAGAGAGGGCTTGCCAGCCCCTCAGATCCTTCTAGCCTTCAAATAATTTCCAGGGGGCGTCTGGCTGGCTCAGTCAATAGAACATGAAGCTCTTGATCTCAGGGTTGCAAGTTCGAGCCCCACCTTGGGTTGGGTGTGGAGATTACTTAAAAATAAAATTTTGAATATAATAATAACTTCAAACTGAAAAGCCATTGCATTAGGGAAAACCAGCTTGTGGTGCTTAACTCTCACATCTCAATGGTCTAAATCCGAAAGGCCAAAACAGACATTATGAAAGTAAACAGTGGGGCACTTGGGTGGCTCAGTCGGGTAAGCTTCCACTCCTGATTTCAGCTCAGGTGACAATCTCAGGGTCATGGGTAGAACCCCATATGTTGGACTCCGCACTTAGCAGGGAGTCTACTTGGGATTCTCTCTCCCACTCCCGCTACCCCTCCCTCTTCCAAAATAAATAAATACTTTTTTTTAAAAAAAAGGTAAAGTACAGCATGTATGAAGGGGATTGTAAAAATATCGTCAGTAGTTTCAAGGGAGTTTATGCGATAGGCCACATACTATTCAGTGATTTGGGTCCCTGGGTTTCTGCGGAGCACAAAACAGAACACTGTGTGGACTGGCTGTAGAGTCGGCTTCCCCTCTGCTCCTAGTCCTCACTTTCAGTGGACCTTATGCTGCAGCCTCACATTCCTCCCTCCACCCCATGTCAGTTCTTGGTCAGACCCTGTGCCATAGCCTTGCTTTTTCTTGTTTGCGGGCTTGCTCTTCCTTCGAGTTATGCTGACCCCTAGAGGCCTAAAAGTGCAACTCCTCAGTCTCTGACTGCGGACCATTAGTTACACGGAATTTTAAAAGGAAGTTACTTGAACCAATAACTTAATGTCAAGACAAAAAAAGTCTCCCTTAGCAAAATCAGATATTACCAGTATTTTCATACACCAATATAATTTGTACGGCACCACCTTCTTCACAAAGAAATGAGAAGCCACAATGCAAAACTAGCATTAACTGCAAAAGCGCCTTAAATGACAATGCACTCAAGCTCTCCCATGCGGAATTAACACTTCACTCAGTCACATTGCTACTGTTCACATACCTTAGAAAGAGTTCCTTATTTTTCCTATTTCTGTATTTTAAGGAAATGACATTTGGTTTAAAAATGCTCTCTTGCCTTAATCACATTAGTGGGTAGTGTTATTTTCTAACCTGTGTTATTAAAAGCTTAATGGAATCCATTGGGATTATAATCTACACAGTTATGGGTGTGGAGCATACATGCCGCCAAAGGCTTTAGACAGAAAACTCTTATGTCCTGCATCAAACGCCTTTCAGTTACATAGTGTATTTGCCTCAATTAAAACAATGTGCAGGGCACCTGAGTGGCTCAGTGGGGTAAGCCTCTGCCTTCAGCTCAGGTCATGATCTCAGGGTCCTGGGATCGAGTCCCACATTGGGCTCTCTGCTCAGCAGGGAGCCTGCTTCCCCCCTTCTCTCTCTCTCTGCCTGCCTCTCTGCCTTCTTGTGATCTCTCTGTGTCAAATAAGTAAATAAAATCTTAAAAAAAACAATGTGTATATAGTACCAGCAGTACAGTTATTACAGCTGACTTGCCACTGGGTAATTATTTTTATTGTCAGGTGAGCCAGCCCATTGGCTGAGCAGTAGAGAAGGTTAGGTAATTGTGTCTGTTGATGTGGAAAAGACTTACGACGGTGTATCATGCAAAGCAGTCAGCAACTGCTGGTTGCACAGGGAAGATTAAGGTCTGAATCAGCATACGGCAGGATGGTGCAGGGGAAAGAGTGGACGAGACGACCAACACTTCCAGAAGCTTCTCCCCACAGTATAAATTACTGTCTCTGGGTGTTAATAAGAGGTAGATATTACTGCCCTTAAAGTCGGATGGTTTCTTTTTTTTTTTTTTTTTAAGATTTTATCTATTTATTTGACAGACAGAGATGAGAAGAAGGCAGAGAGAGAGGAGGAAGCAGGCTCCCAGCTGAGCAGAGAGCCCGATGCGGGGCTCGATCCCAGGACCCTGAGATCATGACCCGAGCCGAAGGCAGAGGCTTTAACCCACTGAGCCACCCAGGCGCCCCTGGTTTCTTATTCTCAATGATAAATTGGTCAGTGGAGATGGATGTGGCTGCATGGTGTCATTTTAAATGTTCCTAATTATATTTGCTTTTCTAGTCTGATAGTTTTGTCTGGTTAAGCTTTTTTATCTGTAGAATGACCATGAAACCTTTTTTGGGCAAAATCAGGTAACCCAGACTCTCTGCTAGATTTTTTTTTTTTTTTGGTACATCTTTGAGAACACAGAAGATAAAAAGAGCACATCAGAGATTTTTATCACTAAAGGAACTTGTGAGGCTTGTTTGGGGCCCATTAAGAAATTTTGCAAACATTCAAGAGTGTAGCAGAATGGGTGGATTGAGGTAGCACTAACTAAACTAAGGGTATGGTAAGAGGATGTTGGGAGAGAACATTGTAGTTGGAAATGTCCAGTAGGCAGAGGAAATGTACTGCCAATACTCAGGGAGACTTCACTGCTGGGAACAATAAATAAAGCCAACTGAGACATTTCAATGTCAGCATCCCCACTACCTGGCACGTTATATATCATAGATACTGATTGAATAAATGAATGAAAACAGTGGTGACAAAGATAGGACAAAGGCTTGGAGTCAACACCAAGTAGGGAAGGCAGGAGAAGAGAGTCTGAAATCAGGGAGATTCATTAAGCATCTGTCTACAAAGTATTTTGGGAGGCCCTTTGGGGACATACTTCAGACCACACACACACACACACACAAAAAAAAAACTGGGCACCTGGGTGGCTCAGTGGGTTAAAGCCTCTGCCTTCGGCTCAGGTCATAATCTCAGGGTCCTGGGATTGAGTCCTGCTTCGGGCTCTCTGCTCAGCGGGGAGCCTGCTTCCCCCTCTCTCTCTGCCTGCCTCTCTGCCTACTTGTGATCTCTGTCAAATAAATAAATAAAATCTTTTAAAAAAATGATATAAGAGGGTCCAACTACTAGTTTGGAGAGAGAGAGAGATGTGTCATATTTATTAAGATAATATAGAGAGAACAGTGACTTCTTTTTGAACTGTCAGTTGAAAAATGGAAGAGAAAAAAGACATGGAATTAATTCAAGGGATCCAATATCTAACAGATGGGAGTTGCAAAAAGAGAAACAGAAAAATAAGAAATAAAATAAACCTTATCTAAAGGCCCATGAGCCAGTTAGCAGGATAAATACCTATATACATTCTAAAACTTCCAAAGAGAAAAGTATAAGCTACTTACGAAAGAACAGGAGATTCAAATGGCACCTCTTTTTCAGCAGCATATTTCTGAGAAAATTACTTTAGGAGGGTATTCCAGTAAAAGAGCAGGTAAGAAAGAGGGAAGCCAATGGATTCAATGCTAAGAAACGTGGAAGTCCCAGGACAGCTACATACCGAGCATAGAGAATAACTTGCCCAAATTGGAGCAGGGGGAGAAGACACTCTAAGAGAAATGCCTCTCCATCAAAAGGAAAGAAGAGGAACAGATTAATTATCTCATTTATTAGTTAGTCAATTATCCAGTTAATTAGAAGTTTGAGATTACTGGGAAAATTTGGGGCTCATTGGTGATAAGTCTATAACAATTAAAATGAGATCATTGTTACCTTGAAGAAAATAAACTTGTACCAAGAAAAGGAAATGTAATCATACTACAGTAGTTGACTCAGTATAAATAACATTTATATAAACATTATAAGTCATAATAATAAAACCAACACAACCAAACATCATAATGCATGAAATACCAGCATCATGGTTATTTGGGATATATTATTGGAGAGGAAAATATGAGAAGTAAATCTTTAAAGTTGAAATAAAAGAGATTGTTGGAAATTGTTAGAACTACAGAGGTTTAATTATATCTAAAGAAGCACAAGAAACAAGTAGAACTTTAATGTGAAATGGAAGAGGTTGGCAAGCTAAATTTTCATCCACTGGAATATTTCATCTGTTGAAATAGGGAGTTGATAGACATCAACAAGGTGATAAATTTTAAAATAGGATTATATGCATACTACTTAGCTTATACCTCTAGAATTGAAAAGAGAAGTGTTTAGTGTGCCTCTAGAGAGTGAAAGTGTTGAATTTTTTTATCATGTGCTGTACTATTTAATTTTTTATCATGTGCACACAAAAAGAAATATCCTGGAAAAATAAATAGAAAAGAACCAGGAGTCAAGAAT